GCGAGCGCATCGGCAGGTAACGACCACGGATGCAGACCGGACTTGACATGTTGTGATAAGTGAGACACTCGATGTGGATACAAGGTTGTTGAGGTACATAATGTCGTCATGTCGTGCTGTGCTCAAATTAAGCCAGTATTTATTGATTTCTCAATCGATTGACATGGCGTTGACGTTTTTGTCACTGTCAAAACATGTGCTATCATTACAGGACATTTGATAAAAAAGCAAAGATAGATGCATCTCATTGACATGCACTGTTTTTCTTTCTATGTCTGTCTGAACTTGTGTTCGTTCTTATTTCGTTTTCTTTTTCCCCCTCCAGTGTCCTGACCTACATCTTCATGATGGACGTGGCCCTGCCCCACACGCATCCCACCACCTCCCCCCACGTGGCCGACTTCGTCACCCGGGTGCTGGAGCGGCTCAAGCCCCTCACGTCCGAGGCAGAGATCCACAACCACGTGCACGAGGAGAACGCCCCCGAGACCGCCGACGAGCGCACACAGGCTGTCAAGCTGCTCAAGACGGGTCGGAATTCAGATTTTTCCTGCGTCTTGCAAAACTGAGCAAAAAACATGCAACAAATAACAAAAGAAAAACAAAACGACTACAAAAAACATAAAACATAACGGGTCGTCAGGTGGGAAGCTTACAAAAAGATTTTACAGGCCTAATTTTAGCCCGTGCTCCCGGTCACAAAGTGCTGCAGTATGCATTAGAATGTATTAATCATGGTCACTACAAAAATAGACTACATTAAAAAAAAAAAAGTGCTCTGAGCCAACCTCTGTCCGTTTGCCTCCATTTTGTGCGGGTTGGATTACAATCTGATTTAATGATGCATAATGTGAGTTCCCTGCACCAACACAGTTTGCATATTACTGATTAAATTGGATTAATTATTTGTCCAGAGTCCATCAAAAAAAGTCAAAATATTCATTCATCTATTTAATTTTATTTTACATCATTTACATTGCAAAACCTAAGTGTACTGTTTTTATTTTTCTTAATTTATATTTTATAAATCTAATTAATTTATAACAAATTAATTTGTTGGAGTATAGTTGTATATTTTCTTAGTCAATTATTTATGCTGAACTATACTGTTTAAAAAACTTTTTTTTTATGTTTAGCAAATCATCTACTTTTTAAAATTAAAAACCAAGATAAAAAAATAGATGCTACAACTTCTACTTTTCTAGAGCACGCCTGAATTCACATTTACGGCAGAAGCATGAAGAAAAAAAATCTTTCAGAGGTCCGAATGAATACTATCGACTGCCGTTAACTCAATTGTTGCTTTGTAAAATGATGATGAATGTCGTGCTGTGGTGAAGGCGTCCCAGTGAGGTCATCGTGGCAGCTTTACTTGATGAAATTGCTTTTCATTGTGTGTATGTGCATGCATGTGAGTCTTTCTATATTTTTTTTTTTTTTTTTAGTCCTAAAATGGCTGATGGCGAGCGCCGGGCGGACTTTCACCACGCCTGTTCAGCAGCAACTTCAACTCCTGCCTCTGCTCTTCAAGGCAAACGCGCACACACACACACACACACACACACACACACACACACACAAAGAGTCCTAGTGCAGTGTTATTACCCACTCCATCTTACTTGGCCATTAGACTCCATTTCTCTCTTCATTTACTCACAACGCTGCCATGCCGCTGTCGCCCTACCTTTCCGCACCTCTTTCACTCTCACTCTTTCTCATTCTGTCTGTCATTCTCTTTGTCTCTCGCCCCGCTCACACCCCTCCCCGCAGATTGCCCCGGTGGAGATTGATGAGAGTTATGATGAGATGAAACAGGACGCTCGCGCATGCCTCTCTCTGATGTCCCAGGGCCTGCTCTATCCGCAACACATCCCTCTCGTCTTGGCGGCCCTGGAAGAGGTCACTCACACGTGACATTTTTTTTTAAATTTTATTTTTTGACATTTTATCTTTTGTGTGTGATTTAATTTGCCTTTATATACACTGCACCAATAGATTTGAACTGTCCTGATAGGAAAGTGACATCTAGCGTAATCTTGTTGAAACACTCTTAAAAAGATCATTAAAAAAATCTTTGCCTCTAGCTTTGATGTTTTGCCATTTTCACACACAGTCACAAATGTGAATGTATGTTACTGTCCTCCAGCTTGTGTGCGAACATGTATGAAGCCCTTCTCATTATTCCATCTGATAAACTTATGAATTATGTGTCGCATAGCTGGTCGAGAACGGCCTCGTTCTTCACGCTCCCGCTTATTAACATGCTTTGACATTTGAAGGTTCTCGCTATGAACACACGAGGCGATGGGCACTAGATATGGACGTGGTACCACGTCTGTTGGCAAACGCTAACCGACGCATTCACGTTTGCTCTTACAGATGGCCGGCAGCAGGTCGTGGCACGCGCGCTACTCGGTGCTGACCTACCTACAGATTACAGTCTTCTCCAACTTATTCACGCTGCTCAGCGTGCCCGTGGAGGTGCAGCGCATCCGCAAGATGGTGATGCGTCTGCTGCTGGACGAGCAACTCGAGGTGACGTAAAAAATAATAAGAATAATCCACTTGTTCTCTGGGCGGTTGCGAGCACACCGTGTCCTTTTGTAGACAATCTAATTTTAAACATCAGAAGACACTTCACACAGAGTTGATAGACTGGTAATATAATGGGACATGATTTTTTTTTTTTTTGTAATTATTGAAAGCAATAAAAATGGCTGTGCTTTCTCATTTTGAGTGAGTGGAGAGCATGTGTTGATCTCAATCACATTAAATCCGTCCAAGTCGATATTGTCAGCAACTGATACTCTAAATTATTCCCAGGTGTAGGTGTGAATGGTTGTTTTTGTGTGCCGTGCGATTGGCTGACAACCAGTTCAGGGTGTACACCCCCCCACCCCCAATCCTTTCGCTAAATAGTTGATGCCTGTCCTTTCCTAAATCTGCTCTCCTGTGTGTAGGTGAGGGACATGGCGAGCACCACCCTGAGTGGTTTGCTGCAGTGCCACTTCTTCCCTCTGGACCGCAGTCTGCAGACTCAACTGCAGACGCTGAGTCACACGCGCCTATCCAAGGCCAGAGGAGAGCTGGCTTCCACGGGTAATCGCACGCACACAAGCAACACACTGCTACAGTGTACACAGTTCACAGGTTCGAGGACCAGAGTTTGATGCCTGTGCTATAGATCAAAGGTCACCAACCTTTTTGAAACTGAACAAATTGAACATGACTGCTGCAGATTTGGTGCGTCGGCACGCGGGAGTGTTGGGCCTGAGCGCGTGCATCCTGTCCAGTCCTTACGACGTCCCCAAATGGATGCCGCAGATTCTGATGGACCTGAGTGACCACCTCAACGACCCGCAGCCCATTGAGGTACTTATTTGCCTTTAAAAAAACAAAACAAAAAAAAAACGATGACTTGGTGGGCCACTTGAGGAGAGTCTAGTGCCCCGGGTCTCAGACGCACACAACGTGATCAATGAGAGTAAATAATAAATGAGTGCGGCGGGCCAGCCAGAGATAATCATTCAGTGGCTCATTGTGCTGCAAAGTCAAACACAATTCAGTACATTTTAGACACCAACCCCACTTCATTGGAGAGAAAAAGAAAAAAAAGTTTTGCAGGTGCCTGATTTGGTGTCGATCTTTTATTCAAATGAATGCGGCCCATCCATAACTCATGAGTACATCTTGACCCATTGTGATCGCCATTTTGTGCTCTGGCTGCATGTTTTTTTTTTTTTTTTTTTTTTTTCTTCTTCCACTCTCTCTAACCCTGCGACACTAATTCCAAGGCTTGCACGTGGCCTTTTAGCATCAATAAATGAAAAGCCCGCTTGTTAGTTTTTAATCTCAAACAGAAGTGTTGCTACGAGGTTTGCTCGAAAGACTGAGGTTTGACTGTTATAGCCTTAAAAGCCCCCCCACCCAAAAAAAAAAATCAGCTTACCAATTTTTTACATCCCCCCCTTTGCTTGGAGAACACCCAAATGAGTACAAACCGTAGACAAATTATGTCGCCACAAAATTGGAGGACTGGATGCTTATTGGACTGCGGCAGGTTCAAATAGTTCTACTTTTGAGTAAGCCAGTTTTATTAAAGTTGGATTGCTGTTATGCTTCAGTGTAGAAGGAGCTGGCGAGCCACAAAGATCAGCTTGTGGTTTGTATTTATTGAATCACTGGTTTGAGAATCACTCCCGCTTCCCGTTTTGTTGTGGATCTCAACAGTTGGACATGTGATTTATTTGCTTTCAAGATGACGGTGAAGAAGACCTTGTCCGAGTTTCGCCGCACGCACCACGACAACTGGCAGGAGCATCGGCAGCGTTTCACCGACGACCAGCTGCTGGTGCTCACTGACTTGCTGGTGTCGCCGTGCTACTACGCTTGAGTGAGGAAAAAAAAAACTGAATGCTCAGAAGTGTTTTGTTTTTCCCGCTGTCTGTTTTTGTTTGAGTGAAATTTAACGAAGCTGTGTGCATCGCTGCAGGGAGGCCGCCCAGTGACTCAACCTCCACCTTCTTAACCAGATGAAGACAGGGACAAAACACTTCCGAGGAAAACCGGTTAGGGTTCATCTTTTAAAAGTAAATATTTAATTGTCATCCTCATTAGAATGCCTCATGTGAGCTTAGTCAAGGTGTAACATAGCATACATGTTGTTTGCTAAACACCAATATTTAGCTTTGTAAATATGTATGCAATGATGTTATAGCTTAGCGTAATTGAAATGGTGTATATTGCTTTATTACTAAGCTTTGCTAAAACGCTCACATTTTGCAAAAGATGTGCTTAGCAGACTTACAAATACTCAAATCCATATATGATTATCTGTGTAATATGTCTGCAAAAAAAAAAGTACTTTGATGCGGTTCTGTTGAATAAATTGATAATTTGCAATTGTGCTCAGAGATGTCCTCTTTAAGTCAATGTTGCAGACAGTCCGTTGGCTCAAGCGCTCATCTTGCAAAAGAAAAGTCAGCATTTCAAACCCGAGGTCCAGGTAAGGCTAATTTATTGTTTTGCATGTATGAACAAACACTCAAAGCTCCGTTCACAAACTTGTGTCATCCTGTTGAAACCCACAGGAACATGAGTGATTACTTAACTCTAAATATGTGCTCAGACCAGTTTATGTTGCCAAATCAACTTTGTACTCACTGGTTAACTCAAGAACCCCCGCACCCCCTCCCCCTGCCAACCCATGTGTGGCACAATGAATTCTAGCAATCCATTACCCTTTCGGGGGGCAGCCACATCTTTTTTTTTTTTTTTTGCTCTTTTCGGTTTGTGTTTTTGCACCGCTTTCTCCACTGGAAGTGTTAGGTGCGGCACTTCCTTTTGTTCAAGAACACGTTCAGGTAGTTTATTTACTGTGTGCTCTATATTTGCCACCATTACAAAACACATGCAAACCCTGAGACTGATAATCAAATATAATACAGTAGTGCCTTGAGATATGAGTAACCCAACAAGTATTTCAAGAGATTTTTTTTTTTTGCTTCCGAGGAAAAATGCAAGACGTGACAGTGAACTCAATTCAGTTCACTTCACAACACGTAGCTGTATGGCTGATGGTGAATTTGTTCTAATTAGGATGATGATTTGGGGGAGCAGTCTTCCTCTAGTCTCTGGCGTACGAGCCTCTCCAAGCGAAACAAGTGCGCGTCATTGTCCTCGGGCAGGATGTTCCTGACGGCGTCGGCCAGCTGAAAGAGATACTCCGTGTTCTGGCCGCTGGGCCCCGTGGAGCCCACGATCTGATTGGCTATCTCCTCCAAGGGGGCAGGACCCAGATAGTCGGGGTTGTCCTGCGAGCCAATGTAAAGTAGGGTCTGGCAAGGTGGCGGTGTCAGTGGCGGTCGCGGGTTGAAAGCCACAGCCATCACGCGGTAGCCGCCCTTTTCCCGGTGGTCTAGTTGGCGCTTCACTTCCTGCTCCCGGCCCGTGGGGAGCTTGTATGCCACTCCCCAAACACGACCCTGATAATGATCATAAATAGGGTTGCAAACACAAACAATGCTACGAAATGACCAGAATATAATTGTTGTTTTAATTACACAATGTGTAAGGCTCTTTGTTTTAGGATTTTCTATCTACTGTTTTTCGCCCTCCAATTTAAGAATTTCATTGTACTTTTCCAGAAACGACATGCAAAAGTAAGGCTAACTTACACAACTACCGGTATAAGCAGCAATATTCAAAGATATGCATCACTGGCCTCTTCAATGCAGATTTTCTAAGCGTTATCGCCTCCCCCAGATGAGTGGGAAAAATTATCTCCCATCCAAGGTCGCGGTATAAGGCGTCATCCTCGCTTTCGTTTCAGCGGGATACAAGATAACGTCTTTTTTTGTGTGTGCCGTGACCTTGGAGCAGTTTGACAACGGAGCTCTTTTGTATGCTGCTCGGGTCAGAAAATGTGCTCATACAGTGACAGCTTACAAGGTAGTAAACGTTAAGATCATCAGTCGCTAATTGGCGTTTTACGGCTGTATAACGAGGCGTTGTTTCATTAATCTTCATCTGCTATGATAGTAAAGGTGAAGGGAAGCTGATGTCATAAACATCGAGGATCTGGCCTTGTGCTTACATGGGGGGGTGGAAAGACTAACCTGGGGCTCTTCTGCTAAAATAGCAAAGATTCACTGCTTGATTTGATTTGATGTATTCAAATTTGGACTGCTTTTAAGTTGTTCTTTTTTTTTAACTATATTACAAAAAGTTCATTTTCTGATCAACTATATTTGTGAAAAAGGCATTTTATTTCTACACAGGTATGATTTGATTCACTGCCGTTTCCTTACCTCAGGGTCCTCCACCAGTGTCACCACGCGACCCGGCTGTGAAAAGAAAAGGTGGATGTGTCGATTATTCGATGAAATGATTTTTTTTAATCACCCTTTTTCTTTTTTTGCAGTACACTTGAGAAACCAGTGTCACGGTGCATTTGAGTCACTAACTTCCACTGAATGGAAACCAATGTTCTTTGATGCTGACTGAATGTGAAATTTGTCATGGGAGTCTGACAGACACACTCATATGACTAAAATTTTTCCTCAGAACTCGAGAGGGAAAAAAAGTGACCAAACTGTGGCAAGTATCTCAAAATAATTGTCAGGTAAGGCACTTGCATCTCAAAGCAATATTCTATCATTAAAATAAACACATTTTTACATTTCTATCAATTGGTTGAGTCATTGTAATGTAATTACAAATGTAATTTAAAAGTGAGAATGAATTATGACTATTTTACATTCTACGAATGACACGTAGGTGTCAAAATTAACAGAAGGGAATTTCCCTTCTGTCAGTTCTCAAACTCAACGTGGCCTTTGAGGCTTTTCCTACCCCTACTTTTGCCTTAATATATTACATCCGTTAGTGTAATTTACAGTCTCTTGACATAATGTCAAGCTACTTTTTGTGAGATGATGCAACATGACGTTATAGTGAGCGAGCATGGCGTGAATGACGTCAGACTCACCTTCCCCGGCACTCCGCGGTGGTCTGTGCTGCCTTGCCAAAAGCGACGACTGAAGCCATTAACGTAACCGATTCGCTTCTCCTCGTAGGGAAAGTCCACCTTCCAAATTAGCGATCCGTAGCCAAACACCCACATGACAACCCCCCAAAACAGCCCAATTACGCTGTGATATTTAAAAAAATAATTGCTTCAATGGCTACATACGGGGTCATGAAATCATCAGCAATATTCCGGACATTACAAAGCCGTGTGTCGCGCAGAGGTCAAGGTCGAGGCATCTGGCGTTTCTAAGTCCGGTTGCGTTTCACGATTAAAGGATCAATCGTCGAGGGGGAAGCTGCATTTTAAGGCTTCGCACCCTCTAAAGTCGCTACAAGTAATTTTTAAAAAAAGCACATATCAATTACCGAGGGTCATTACAGCCATGGTGTATACAGTGCGCCGCTCAACGCGAGTAATTTTTTTATTTTGAAGTCAGTTCTGTCACTGCAGGAAACGGAGCTCAAGCTAGAGCTAACAAGCACCTGTCGATGTGCGACATCGCCGCCGACAAGCGTAGTTTTTTTTTTTTGTCACCGTGCTCACCCGTTCGATGGTGTGTATTGTTAATTCGTCACTTTTTCAGACGTCATTGCGTCTTTTTAAAATGTCTCCCGTTCGCTAAGGTCGACTTTTGAATCTTTTTATAGCGTCAGTGCCCCTCAAACATAGCTGTTCCCTATGGTCATTTCAGCACCCAGACACCAGGGGTCGCTGACTTTACCGTGAATTACGAAGAGGTGCCCCCATACGTATGTTTTTTTTCCCCCCTCTGTCCAAATTATTATATATAATTTAGAAGAAGCATATTATGCCCTTTTCACAATCTAAAAGTTGTCAGGTATCTTACAAACATGTCTGTGGCATGCTTTTCCCTGAAACACTCAAAATATATCAAGATTCTGATAGAATCTTTCTTGCCATGGTGAAATTAACTCGTTTTAGGGGCTGTCTGTCCAGTACAACCGAGCACCCGAGTAAATGAAGGCTGTTTTGTGCCACAAAGACAGAAATTCTCCAAGCCATTCAAGTAAGTGTTTTTCACAAGCAGTTCACTTTTTTTTTCTTTCTCGCTCTCTTTATTATGTGCCCAGAGAAATTCCATTGCATTTTCACTTGTGGATGCAGCATTTCATCACCAAAACACTTGTCAAATAGTGTACCAATATGGCAACAACATCGTCCCATACAAATACCATCAACCTGCATGCCAAAGGCCAATCTGAACATGATTGTACCCGTATCAGAAGGAAGTGGAAGAATATTAATGTAAATTGTGTTATTTATTCCACTTTTAAAATACATTTTAACATTTGAACCTCCGGCATTCACCCAACTAAAGTCGTTGATTTCATGCTACTCCTGCTGAAATTAAGGTCAGGGATTGGGGTGGTCTTGATAAATGGTCCTCCAAAAAAAAGTCCAAAAGCCAAATGCATGCCAAAAAAAGACGCTCTTGATCCTCTGACTCCCATCTCGGGAAGCGTTGATCCAAATGTGCTCTCTTGACATCCCTGAAAGGGCGTATTGTGACCATGTAACACCGTAGTGAGGCGGATGCATAATGAGAAAGCCAATGTGCGTGCTCTCCACTGACTATAGGTAAACTACAAAATATATAAAGAAAAAAAAAGATGGAACATTTCTGAACCGAGTCTTGTAGGATGTGTCACAATTTATTTCCATTAACGCATCAAGTTATATGCTGAATTATGGTGAGTTATAAAATACAAAATATCCACTAAAAACCAACAGGTGTATGTGTCTGAGGGAACTTATGGAAATGTGGGGAATACACAAAGTTCTTGGGACTGTTTTCGAACTACCTCGTGAAGACCGTCCCCAGTGTCCCATGAAAAATACACATTAGTTACCCTGCAGCCAAAATCTCGAATGTCAAGTGACTTCTGTGGTGCGAGCTACTCCATCCATTCAGCAAGCAGAGAAGCTGACAAGCACAACAAATGTCGCATAAAAAAAAAAACCCAAAAGTTTTTTTTTTTATTTGTTTTCTCGGTGTGTTGCAGCGTCCGTGTTTTTTATGACAAAGCTGGTGTGTGCGAAAGAGATTAGTGCTGATCTTAATTTGTTGGAGAATAAAGAAGCGTCGCCTGGCTTTCTCTCTCCGGCCGATATCAGACAGAAGAAGCTCCGTCAGCAAGTTAAATGATTGATTTTCTTTGTCATTTAATTTTTAATGAGCTACAGTACAAAGCAAAATTGGGGTCATTGGAACCTTACGGGAGTTTTTTTTCCCCCCCTGATCTTGTGTGTGATCACAAGGCTTGTTTTTATATCGGTTTTAATGTGCATGTTTTCCCCTTGCTGAAGAGATTAATTAATAAATGAAGAAAGCTAAATAAGTTCACTGGCTGTAAATGAGCACGAGGTCAATCAAGTCTTTATCACCTCGCAATTATCAGTCTAATCAATAAAACTATGCATAAAATTGTGAGCAACACAGTGCAATTTGATTTATTGAAGATATGCAATCATTAGACTCCATTACCAAAAGAAGCATATTGACGTGCTCATAGTTTTTAAATTATTTAATTGGTTTTCAAACATTTGTAGTACTTTTTACATAACTCTTTTATACACGTGTAAGCATTTTTTAAAACATTCCTAATTTTTCCTAAAACAACTTGATATTTAGTTGACTGATATATTTTTAAAATCATGTTCTATTACATTTTTTCATTATATTTGATCATAACAAAAAATCACATTTAAAATTTCTTTCTCATTTATCTAATTCTGTGGGTCATATTAGCATTAGATTGTATTAGATTCATATTTATATTAAATAATATTTGATCAATATTTAAATTGAGTTGATAAGACATTTTAAGATATATTCAAGTTGTTTTTCCTCATTATATTAGCTAGCATAATTTAATTTTGTGTAATTTACTGTACTTTGTAATGTACACACTATCATTTGATATAATTGTGTTCTTTACATTTAAAAAAAATCCATAGTATATCCTATATTCCTCCTGAATGTATTAAAAAAATATGTATATATATACAGAGAGAGAGCTGTTGAGAGACCCGTTGTCTTCTCATCTTCGTGTTGGTCTTTACACCGTAAGTGAGGACGCCTTCACTGTAGGCTCTACTTATCTAATTACGTGTGCATTTATGTAGATGCTGCGCATGCGTGCGTGCGTTTGTGTGTGTGTTTTCATGACAGCGCTCCTGCAGATCAATGATCCCAGTTGCTAAGCAACCAGCTGATGGCGAGGACGACGAAGGAGGAGGAGAGCGAGTGAGCAAAAAGGAAGACGTGCAGAGGCCTGGAGAAGGAGTAAATGGACGATAGGAAGTAAGAGTGTGTGTCAAATCACCAGCCCGCGTGTGTCATTGTGTTGATACTATGGCACTAGAAATAGAACATGGCGCTGCCATGGTGACGCCAGCAGCTGATTGAATTATCTTTATTTTAAAGCGGGAACAAAGTGCTTAAGCAGGGGAAGGAAGGAGGAGGAGAAAGAGGTGGTGGTGGTGGTGGTTTTGGGGGGGAGCAGAAGAATAACACTGACGATGCATTTGGAAAGTCTTTTTGAATATGAGGCCACAAGCTTGGCACACCTCTGGTCAGTTTTGTTCAATCCCCCATCAAAGAACTCAGTATTTACATTGGTAAAATGAGGCGTTGAGAATACTCTCCGGGTCCATTTCACTTTTCCCACTGTCATTATTTTACAGCCATACTCTTAAGTCAGTTTGTGCTAGTGTGCCTTTGAGGCTACTGTGAGAGCTAATATAATTTTGCACACACGGGGGTAATTTTTACTTCTTACAAATAAAAAAAAAAAAATTGAAATGGCTGTGCACTGTTTTTTACCCCCACTTTTAAATAGATTTGCAAGCATATATTTAAAAAAAATGTTTTTGTAGTTGTCATGATGGGGTGTTGTGTGACGAATTTTGCGAAAAAAATTAATTTAATCCATTTTGAAATAACATCATGAAATACAGTAAACCCCACTTACTCGGGTTTGACGTGTTCAATCTTTGACACTGAAATGGATGTAATTTTGAATTAAGAGTGTCATATCACAAATTGTGGAAAAGTTACACTGTATGTATAGAGATGCTCAGAGAACCGGGTGGGGGG